ATATGCTCATGTTCCGCAATTGCGCAAAAACTGGTGGGCGGTAAGGAAATTTTTCCATCAAGAAAGATCCATTAGTGGGAGGTAAGTAGAAAAAGGTTGACTACCACTGCTTTAGCGTGATAAATATTATTTTCTCTTTCTATATAAATGTTACTAAAATCCTATATATGAAATAAAGATAAAACATAATACAGAAACATACACAAAAACATAAACCTACAAGTACAAAACTGAAGATCTAACTTAAAAAAACCCCATATGTGAACCAGTAACCATTTCTTATTCTTTTATATGATTGCATTGTATCACCATTTGCATTTTCCATTATCCCCCCCTTAATTAATCTATAAAACTATTTATCATCCAGTTATTTTTTCTACTATTGTAATATAATCCATAAGAGATTCCAGTTCTTAATAAAAGAGTTTGTAGTTATCTCTCTCTCTCTTTCTCTCTCTAGAAATGTGAGTTTTGCCATTCTGTCAAATCCATAACTTCAAACATCCATTCTTCAACATCTGGAACTTCTTTAATTTTCAATTTCTGCACATATAAAAATCTTGCTGCCATGATCATATTCAACAATAATACAACACTGGGTTTTTTATTCAGTTTTCTTCCCTAATTTTTAATAAGTTCTATTCTGGTTTCTTTTGTTTTGTTTTGTTTTGCTCAATCATGTCCAATTCTTGAAGGTTGCCTAGATAAGTTCCTGCAGTTTTCTTGGCAAGGTTTTTCTGAAATGGTTTGCCATTGCTTCCTTCCTAGGGCTGAGAACATGGCTGGCCCAAGGTTATCCAGTTGGTTTTGTGCCCAAGTTAGAAATCATAATTTCCCTAATCTGATGCCTTAACCACTACATCAAAGCAACTCTATTTTATGCTCAGGGCTATTTTTTTTTCTGTTTGTGCAGGATGGATGATATCCAGCTTTGTAAGGAAATCAGCAGGTTGAAAAAGGAGTTACAGAAGTTGATTTCAGTGCCAGGTAAGGCCTATACTTGGAGTGATTGATCCAACAACTGCTGTAGGATTTATAACACACTATTTTCCTATAGAATTATGCAGATACCTAAGACTCAAATTCAGCGGCAATTGTTGAAAAAGGTTCAAGAGGCTGCATGGCAGTTTTAATTGAATTGTCTGTGGCCTATGAGCTCCATATTTGAATACCATTCTGTTGAGAGTCAGGTCCATCAATAGATTCTGCTGTAGTTGGAAAAGATCACATGTGCCAGCTCTTTCAGTTCTCTGTAATATAAACCACCTGGTCCTGGTGATCTGAATTCATCTTAAGTAGATTGGTGTTTTTAAACCAATTTCTTACCTATATTAATCTACATTTCTGTTCTGTCTCCCAATATGTTGCTTTTGTTGGGTTGGGCTATTCCCCAGCCCCACCCCCTTTGTATAAAAAAAAGATTTAAGTGATTCTGCTTTCTCCCTCACCTTTTTGCCATTTTCTCCCATTAGTGGAATCATTTCCTTGACTTTTTTTTCTTGTTCCTTACATATTGAAAGAAACTTATTTTTATTATTTTGGGCATTTGTTGCAAGACTTAATTCTGAGCCTTAGTCTGCCTGATTCCATTCCTGTAGATTCGGGCTATTTGCTGGTACTGTGTTTTAGTTAAATGTTTATGCTTCCATTTTTTTATACTTGTCCTCCTTGCTCTTCAATTTGTCAGAAAGCTCTTTATGTTGGTCTCATCCAGTGATTTTTCTTTGTAGTATTATTTTGATTTGGGCCCTTATTATTTCATTTTTCAGAGTTTTCCATGTGCCCTGAGCTGTTTTTCGTTTTAGGATTTCCAATATAACAAGTACACATTAAATTCAAAGTTAACAGGTAAGAGGAAAATGTCATAAAGAGACAGGAAGATTAATATGGATTTCAAAAACCCAGTAAAAGCAGATAGTTTCCTGTCGCCGAAGGCAAAAAGTAAGAAAAACTTTCTTGGGAGAATATTCTACAACTGGGGTGCTGATAATCAATAATCTAATCTAATCTAAACAATTATCTTTCTAGGAATTCCTCCGTTGTGAGAATTATCTTCATCTTTCCTGCAAAAAAATTCAATAATAAACATTTGTACGTGTATTTTCCCCAAACTGCAGAAAATAAAAAATCAAAAGAAGACAAACAGAAGGAGGAGGAGTTAGTGCAACAAATTCATAAACTTGTAGAGACTCGGGATTTCCTTGTGGATGATGTAGAGTTTGAAAGGCTCAGGTAAATATGCCAATTTTCTTGATTACCTTATGTTCCCCCAATCCTGTAAACATTCCAAAGAAACACATAGTGGTTATTCTTTTTTTATTCCTAAAATAACACTGCAAAACTGATGCCCAGTATTACTACAACTCCCAGAATTCCAAACCAGCATTGTAAATAATTAGCATTTCTGGGAATTGCAGTCCAGCAAATCTAGTAGATGTCATGTGGCAGAAAAGTGCACTAGAAAGATGCAGATTCAGAAGGGTCAATTGTGATTTTGGGATCCTAATTATCCTAACCCATCTTTTGGGGACTCAGTTCGACAAGGTTGCTGCCAAAATGCCAATGTTTTATCTACTGTACCTTGCAGGGACTCTGTTAAACCAGTTGGCATTCTAAACTCAAAGTCAGAATTTTTTTCACTTCTTTTCTGTATTGTATTACATTCAATTTTGCATTAATCATACCATACTGTTAAAAACACTGTTTGGACTTTGCCAAAGGAAATGTGGCAACAGGAGTTGATTACAGGAAGTTCTTGACTTACCACCATTCTTTTAGTGATTGTTTGAAGTTAAAATGGCACTGAAAAAGCGAGATATGAACATTTTCCATGCTTATGACCATTATAGCATCCCCATGTCATGGGATCAAACTTTGGAAGCATGGCAATTGGCATGTTTTATGATGGTCACAGTGCCCCAGGGTCATGTGATCATTTTTGTGACCTTCTGACAAGCAAAGTCAATGGGGAAGCCAGATTCTCTTAACAACTGTTTTTACTAATGTAACAACTGCAGTGATTCACTTAACAACCGTGGCAAGAAATATTGTAAAATGGAACAAATCTCATTTAACAGTTGTCTTGGACTCATTGTGGTCATAGGTTGAGGACTACCTATACTGAAAAGTAATCAAGGCAGGAATATAACCTTAGCAAAATCAAGTTGTCTTCCCAAGAAATCCAACATATTACCCCAAACTTCTTAATTGGTTATTTAAGGTTCTGTGAATTTTGAAATATTTTATAAAAGGACAAGAAACAAGTATATGTAGCCAGTGACCAAGCCCTTTTTAAATCCCATGGAAGTACCTCCCTTGGTTGTCCTGCCAATCGATGGGAATGAATTTATTTACTACTCTAAATGAGAGAATTCAAGAATCAAAGAAAAGTAGCTTTCTCTTTCACAGAGGTTTAGAGAGCCATCATTCAGACTGCTTTGTAATCGTCTTTTCAAACCTGAGAAATGGCTGCTTTGATGCAGTTTCCTCTTTTCACAGAGAACGAGAAGAAGATAAGGAAATGGCTGAATTTTTAAAGAACAAGCTTTCCAAAACCTGCCTTCTGAAAACAAGTAGGTACTCATGAATATGGAGTTGCATCTCCCATTTTTAATGGACAAGATAAGGTTTCCATGCTTATTCAAAGAGAGAGAGAAAGAAATCTGCATAGTATTAAGCAAAATCAGTGAGTTTGCATTCTTGGCTGTACTTTATCCTGCATATACTTATATTCGGATTATGTCCTGATTAAACTTATAGCTTCCATGATGGGACATATTTCATTATTATATTACATTTTATATATTTGTTGTTGTTGTTAGTTGCGAAGTTGCATCTGACCCATCACAACGCCTACCCCCCCATGGACAATGTTCCCCCAGGCCTTCCTGTCCTCTACCATCCTCTGGAGTCCATTTAAGCTCACACCTACTGCTTTGGTGACTCCATCCAGCCACCTCAATCTCTGTCATTGCATTCTTCTTTTGCCCTCCATCTTTCCCAGCAAATAAATAAATAAATAAATAAACAAACAAACAAACAAACAAACAAATAAACACACACACACACACACATTAAAGAATTATAGGGTTGGAAGAGATGGTTTACGCCACTGAGTTCAACTCTAGCCTCTGTGCAACAACCCAAATTAAAGTGTCCCAGACTGATGGTTATCCAGCTGCTTCTTCCCCACCCCCAATGACAGGAAACCCACCAACTTTCTGAATAATTGCTTCTACTCTCTGCTTATTCAGAAATCATAATTTTCTTCTAACTTTCATCCAGGATTGGCTTTTTATAAGGACAATAAGCACTCTAAAATGAGAGATAACAGGTCTGGACTTTCCTTTACTCTTCCATATATTGGAAGAGTGCTATTCACACCCCCACAGTCATTTTCCCCCCAAGGTTAGACATGCCAAACTCATTTAATCTTTTTTCATAGGTTTATGTTTCTAGTCCTCTGATCATCCTTACAGGCTTTCTTTGAACCAATTTCTCTAAATCCTTCTTGAAGTGTGATGACTGAAACTGGACATAGTATTCAGGATGGAGTTTGAACAAAACAGACCTCGAGTAATTACTGTTCGTGATTAAAACAAGTTTAATGCTGTTGATTGCATTTTTTGCAACCATATGTCGCTGTTGGCCTATGGAATAATGCAATTAACCTCTTTGAGTCATTCAAAAAATGTAATGTCCAAAACAGGAGCAATATTGAAGGTGGGAGACTGACCAGTGTAGCATTTTAATGGAGATAAGATTTACTGTGATTTTTACAACTGTTTGATTGCATTTACCCCTCTGTGAATATTCAAGATACTCATTAGTTCATTCTGACCCAGCACCAGTACTCAGTCTTTCCTAATGAATTGCTCGGACAACAGAGGGAGCCCTTTTCCCCCAGATCAATTTGTAGTTCATTCTCCAGAGTTGTATGTCAAGTTCTTATGGCAATAATTGATTGTTTCTTCATAGCTCCTGTAAAAGAAAAGAAGGTGACATCAAGAGGACAACAAACCTCTCCACCATATGTAACAAAGACAAGCCTCATCTTCTTGAAAGAGTGCTGTGGCTTCACCTGCTCAATCATGTAGGCTAGAGCTAAGGGGCATGTGCTCAACACCAAGCACAAGATCCAGTCATGGGTAAGCCCTGCCCACTTCCTGGTTAACCGAATCCATTCAAATCATAGTAGATTCACAAGCCTATTGAGCAGAGATGAGTGATTCCACTGTGGACAACATGTTGACGGAAAGCACACAGGACCCTAAAGGTCTATATAGGCCAGAGTTTGGTGGAGATCAGAAGCAGACAACACAAGATGCTCATGAAAGAGAGCCAAACAAGGGACACAGACCCAGATATTTGATACCATGTTTTCCTTCTTATAACTATTGTAACAGGGATAGCATCCCAACCCACGCCATCCCAAGTTAGGATGTAGTTTTCGTGTTGGTTGCAGATTTATAAGCTCTAGTGACATAGGTACAGAAATGTACTGACACAGATCCACACACACACTCATCCACATACGAAGTAGAAGGACTGAGCACTTCCTTCCATTTCCTGATACTCTAAAATAGGAAGTACCAGCAGAATGATTCTCAATATAGTGGATTGCTGCTGTTCATCATGTTGCATCCACCCTGCCCTGCTTCTATGAAGTTTCCTAGCAACTGTGGGACCCAGAGATGTCTGCATCATCTCCACAAAGGTCACCCTCATGTGCAGAATGACAGATGTGCATCAGCATTACTCTTAGATTACTACACGCAGTGATCTTATCGACACAAATTGATTCTTATGGCAAAGTCAAACATGTAATCAAGAACTGCTTCCAAACTCATGGTTTTCCTATATACATAAAAACTGCTGTAAGATACCAAGGTGAATGGCATTGTGTATGTTTTCAGTGCAACATTCAGGATCAAATATTTTGCTATGTGGCAAAAAAAAAATTGCTTCATGTTTATATGCAAAGGGGTGCACAGATAAGAAAAGGATAGGTACTGATTGTAAAGAAAATAATCCTATGAAACTGTAAGGAAAAGGGTATGTATTGAGTAACCCAAGAATTTGACTGCCTATCCTTACATATTCTTAACAGCTCATCCACTGCCTTCTTTAAAACCTCTAGGGAACATTTCTTCAACATCACCTGAACTATTCCTCAATGTTTTAACCAAAGAAGTTATATTTAATTTTAAATCATTTTTCTACAACCCACATTCTCAGCTATTTCTATGCGCTAGTTAAACCGCAGTTCATCCTCTATGATATGATTTCACATAGTTGAAAACTTTTCTTGTGCTCCTTACTCCAGCTCTTTTTCCTGAGGTGACTCAGAACGTTCCCAAGTGGCTACTGTAGGTTATGATGTCTTTGTATTCTTCATAGCTGAGCTACTGTAAAATGTCAAGAACTGAGTGAAAGGAAACCTGGAACTGGGAGGACAGAAACATCTTCTCCATTTCATTTTCCCTCAGGTCTTCTGCAACCACCCCAGGGTCAATCTCCTTGGCAAGAAGCCTCAGACAGAAAGTAAGTAATTCTTTCCAAGCAAGATTTATTGAGATGAACAAGAGAGTATTACAATAATTTCAACAACAGTGTTTCCCATTCAGAACCCCAATTTATCCGCTAATAATTAGGGCAGAGATTTTCTTAATTTATTTCTAACATCCTTCCAGTGATTGAATTAAAAAAGTGGGCCCTGGAGCAGTTTGCTACTTATAATGAATATAATTTGATCCTATATGAGGTGGGCCAGGCCATCACTTGAAGTTGAGAAGGTATATTTCATTTTCAAGTATTTAGATGTCTATGGAGATTCTCAGTCATCTAGGTCATATTGTCCCAAAAGTGCTGTTCAAAAGGCAATTGGACTTTCTTCATTTTCCCCCTTGAAAACATTTTTCTTCTGATCCAAGAAGCATCTTCAGTTCAGATTGTCAAGAAGCTTCTTCAGTTCAGATTGTCAAGAAGCTTCTTCAGTTCAGTATTCACATCTTTATTTGAACTGCTATCTTAGCCAGATAAATATAAGGGCATCTGCCATAGCTTCACATCCTACTTGAATTTCCTATTTGCCAATGTCACAGGGTAATCCTACAGTCATCACAATCTTGATGATGACTAAGGGATCAGTAGATTACATATTCTACTGGGATATAAGTGCGTTCCACACTGCTTTTCAAAGAAGGACTGAAACATTGACATGGATAGAACATATTGCTCGCCTTCTTGAAAGTAGATACAAGCTCAGAAAACAAGCATAGATAAAAGTTTGGATAAAAAAGCAGAGGCTTCAATTGCAGTTAAAAGGTGAAATGAAAATCACACCTGAAACACATGAGTAACAGAGTGGTCACCTAGATGAACTGGAAGTGATCAGAATGACATCATGGGAAAGGGAAGAAATGGTTCTAAATAGCAAGGTAATGCAACATCCTACTCTCTGGATTGATGGGTAACAATTGTGCCTACTTATATTGTGGATGCTTTTTAAACAGATCTACAAAGAAATCAGCCTCTTGTCAGTTCTATATGTTTGCATGGCTGATATACATACAATATACTCTGTAATGATGTAGTCAAAAGAGTTGACTTCATTCCTGATATCTGAGGGTTTTATATGACGCCCTTCAGTAAATCCTTTGGCACACAAAAACTTTCTTTCCTATTTGATTTTAAATTTTAAAAAGTGTTGAATTTCTCTGATCACTGTCTTTTTCAATTTTCACAATTAAAATGATGGGCATGTCCTTTTCTCAGACATGTATTTTGCTTCCTAAAGCATTGTCTTTTCTGCAGGGACAAAAAGCATTAGGTTATGGAAGAGAGAGAAACTGCTGCTGCTGATTTATCCATGGCCTAGAAAGTTCCATACATTCTCCATAGAAGTCTTATCTGTATATTGGGCAAACTAAATCTCTAGCATTGAAGGAATCTTGCACCATATGCAATGCATTTTAGAAAGTATGTTGAAGGAAAACTCTAAAATTTTATTGTGAGATCACACATTTACAAGGGTCCTTTATCCCTCTCTACTGATGTCTATGGTATGTAATTTAATTCTATGTATCTGAGACTGCCTCCAAGATTTTGGATCCATACTTATTATTGAGATCAAATTGGACTCATCCAAATCTGGTTTCAGGATTTCATTTCATAAAATTCAACCAATTTAAATGTGCCATCTTCAGCATCTATATAAATATTGTCAATTTTCTCCAAATTGATGCATGGAATGACATGAGGGAAGGTATTCATTGGCAGGAAACCCAGGAATCCCTTAAGTAATGAATTTCCTAGTATCAATTAATTTGAAAATATGGAGTATACCAGAGAAAATTATGAAAAATTTCCGAACCAGAACTAACAGTAGAATACCTACCCCCATAACCCCCGAGAATCAAGCCAATATTTAGTACTGTCAAATTCCTTTATAATGATATTTTTCTTTATGTAATTTTAGAAGTAGCTTGCAGGCCATTAGCACCCCAAGATGATTCACATCCAGGTCTTCATCCTATCTCATCTTCATCCTGATCTCCATCCTATTCCATTTCTTCTAGGACTTATTCATATATGAGTTGAATTCTTCACATCACTATGATGGACACATAATTAATTGAGCTTATTGAAACCTATGCGCTTCTCTTTCCTCATCTGTAAAATGTGTACAACTTAGTCCTTCTATGAAATCTGATGAAACAATAAAATCTCCCTCAAAGCAAGTTTGATTTGCTGCAGCTACTCTTATCTATAGTTACTGTTTTGTACAATATAGTTGTTGGGTTTTTTCCTGTTGGTCTGCCCCATATTATTACTGTAAAATATTTTAAAAGACCAGTATTGTGTGGGCAGGATAACTGTCCCTTGTTGTCCTTCCCATGAATATTGTCTATTTGAGAACAAAATTGATAACTGTGGCAAGAAAAATCTATAGAGATGAATGTTATAAAAGTGACATGAAGTGAAACAATAAAAGAGTGATTCCCATGCTACTGACATCACATATAAAGGGTCTTCTAATAAACCTTGTATGTTCAACTAAATAATTTTTCAAGATTCTTTTCTGGTCCAAAATGAATCGACACTATGAAATTTTGCAAACATATGAATGTAGAAGGAAAGAACCTATCCTAAACTCTGTATTCTATTCTAATGATTCAATTTTTGAGAACAGAGCTGGAAGGGACCTTGGAGGTCTTCTAGCCCAGCCCCCTGCTCAAGCAGGAGATTCTATATCTGTGATGGTGAATCTTTGGCACAAGTGCCATACATAGGTGGCATGTGGAGCCCTCTCTGCAGCGGACACACAAGCCATCACCCCAGCCAGCTGAACCGTGCATGTATGTGCGCCTCCCCAAACCCTTCAGCAGGTTCTGCAGCTTTCTGAAAGAGATACTGTGATTACTGTATCAGGCCAGTATTTTTCCAAGTTTTGCCCTTATGTTATTTTATTTAGTACTTTTATGTTACATGTTTCTTGAATCATAGCATTTAAGGTGATTTCTGTGATGTTCTCAGGTGTCTTCTTAACAGGCATTGGGCAAAATCAGAGCAGTTTAGCTATAGCACGATGGCTGGTTCATTTTGAACGTTTCCAGAAATCAGCCTTTCAGTCCCCTTACTCCTCTAAATCTAAATTACAATGTACCTTAGGTGGATCCAGTTTGTTCTTAAACTCTCTAGATTTATGTTGTAATCTGGGCACAATATTGATGAGAGTATTTGTATAATCACTATGTGTTTAGAACGTCTCAAAAACCACCAGCCAATCCATTGAATTCTCTGGCCAGTAGCTGAAGACAAAAAACAACCAGTTGATAAGATCTTGCCTGCTAGTCAGTTAGAACATTTTAATTGCATCTGCCAAAGTCTATGCTTAATATACCCTTTCTTCTGTTGAAGGATAATAATCAAAGAATATAAATTCCTGGTTTTTATGACTCTTTTGTTTATCATAAGGCCAAGCCACTGCCGTCATCTAAATTCTGAATGCTTGTATGCCATCAGTTCTGTCTTAGGCCTCCTTTCTCTTGACCACATGCTCTCCATTGGGATGGGAAATGAGATGGACTGAAAGGTGCCTACTACAGAAACCATTCATTCAAGTACAAGGCGATGCTATTTACCCAGGAATATATCAAAATTTCAATATCAAGTTGCATATAACTAATTTCGAAGTTGTACAATCAATTAGAAGTTTATGTAGCACCTGTATTTTGATTGCAGCTATGTTTAGAGAGAAAAAATACAATCCGTGTTCTGGGATTTGTCAAAAGCTTGTTCATTGCTTTGTGTCATTTTGCTCCAAGGGAGATATTACTTGACCATGGATACCATCTTACAGTTTGGTGAATATTCGAATTATCAACAGTCTCTGTTGAAATTATCAACCAGTGGTTGTCATGCAGGGGTCATATACAAATAGTCCATTGGACTATTCATTTAGTGGTCAGTTAAAGTCACAACAGCATTGGTCAAAGTGACTTGCAACCATTTTCCACACTTACGACCATTGCAGCATCACCATGATCACATGATCAAAATTCAGATGCTTGGCAATTGACTCATATTTATGACGGTCGCAGTGTCCTAAGGGTCATAGGATCACCTTTTGCAAGCTTTTGACAAGCAAAGTCAATGCAGAAGCCAGATTCACTCAACAATTATCTTACTAACTTAACAACTGCAGTGATTCATCGAATAAATATGACAAGAAAGTTCGTAAAATGAGGCAAAACTCACTTAAGAAATGTCTCATCTAGCAACAGAAATGTTGGGGTCAATTATGGTCATAAGTCCCGGCCCTAAAATATTTCAAAGGGACATAGGTGAAAAGCATATAACTGGGGCCAGACAAAAGCAAAGTGTATTATGCTGCAATACCATCTTATTGATGCCAGAAAATGTACCAGTTACTGACTCATGTCTCTATCTGACAATGGGAACTGGGCAAGGGGTGGTAAGAAGGGGGCCAAGGGTGCAACAAGATTGAGAAACACTGATTTAGACAAAATGAAGATCTCTCATTCTTTACTCCATTCACTTAATATTTATATATTGAATTGATTTGCTGACAAATATTTCTAAAAAGTAATGGTGGGTTTATTAGTCCCATCAGATTTGGCAATCACTTTTAATAATGTGAATTACTCTGAAGCTGACAACAAATCACTACATTAGTAGATGTTATAATTGTGAATACATCCCAAAAATGTGGGGGGAAATCATCATTATGATTCCATAATTGACCTACAGTAAAATCCCAGCATCTTCCGTATAATAATCCTTTTTCAATTTTGAGGTAACCATTCCAAGTAACCATATAATGGCAATTTAACAGGAAAAAATGGATCAAAATGAACATTTTCAGAAAGAGTACACCACTCAATCTATTAAAACTGATTATATAGTGGCAGACGTTATGTCTGCAATAGTCTATCATGTGGGACTCAAAAGATTCTAGTAAATGAACTTCTCCAAAGCTACATGGTGGCATAATTTAAGATCTGGAAAAATCAGTTCCTAACACACCCTACATTACCTTTACCTTTACATCTTTCTCAAGACATTTTCATAACTGAAGAACTGACAAAAGGATGTAATTAATGAGTTTCTGAACATGTTTTCTATATACATCTGTCTGTGCATGTTTATGTGCGTATTTGAATATGCACAGACACATATTGGAATGTCTTACACAACATGAATTATCTGAATGTGAAACATCTATACAATTCTGGGCTACATATGAGTGCTCTTCTAGTAACACTCTTAAAATTAAGTTTGCAAGTGATTTTAAGGCTGTTAAGATACTTTTCAAATATGATTATGGGCTTAATCTGAGCAGAAGCCAATTTCAATATATTATGTCTGGAACAAACAGAAAAATAAACAATTCACTGAAGATCATGAACACAAGATGACTAAGAGGTTTACAAGCACTGTGCCATGCAAATAACGAACTATCATAATTTCCTACCACAGGAGCCTTATGAACCATTTTCACAATAAATAGAACTAACTCACTGGTTTTTTTGTAGGACTAGAATAAAAGTAGTTAACCTCAGTTATTTTTTTCAATCAAGCATAACAAATGAATGCAATCCTGTATTATTGACATTTCTGTTCAGAACAAGTTCAAGCTAAACAGGGCTACTATGACATTTTCAATTAATCGGCCCTGCAAATAATTTGCATGCTACAATTTTAACTGGCTAGTTAAATCTGAATCATTGGGCATCCTTTAATTTAATTTTATTGGACATTCTAAAATAATAGTGTATTTTTACACTAAAATCTTTGTGATTGGATTAAATATGATTTAAGAAGCTTCAAAATATTTCATCAAAAGAGATCAGGAATAATGCAGTTTTGATGACTGGTTAAAAAGGAAACTTGACTATATGACATTTGACAAGGAAACTTATTTCATTCCTGCTATAGAGATTATGGAATAAACTTTCTCTGCACTGGAGTTTGGACTGCATATGATGTTTTATTGTCTCTTTAGTTGCAAACTGAATATAAATTACTGTGCCAAGAATGTTTGCAACATGCTACATTCCAAGTTAGTAGATTCTGCAGAATAGACAAAGTATCTACAATGTATACCCAACTGGGAGAAACTATATTAATTGCTGTTTTATTCCTGCATGTTTATTAACTAATGAAGAATTCTACTATGTTGTCAGGCTTCTAACTTAGTTATTGAATCACATGTCAAAATATTATGCATTCAAAGATTTTGTTTAAACATGTTTTGCTTAAACATGAAACATACAAACTGCCAATAAATTAGAAGATTTTCATTGCCTTTCTCATCTCTCTCCCATATAAAAAGCAGTCTAGTCAAGAATATTTGTTGTTATGGTGTCAAAGCAAAGAAAGCAAAGATGTTCCAGGATCAGTCAATTAAGGTATTTTTTGCCAGCAAACTCAGATTCCATAAAAGCAGTCAGAATTTAACCATCATGAATGGGATACAATAATATAACAGATCCCAAAACAACCATTAAAAAAGCAGATTTCAACATTGACCACTGAAATGTTCATATCTGAAATGAAGCATCAGATTTTTTTTTTCATTTTCCAGTGGTGCAGACATATGACAGCAGAGAGGTGACACGAGGCTGGATCCAGGCGGTTGTTACCGCCTCTCTTCGGGAGG